GATTTTCACCTCCCAGTACTCACACCCTGTGTAATACCCTTCCCTTGAGTTTACAGCATTGTGAGACCTTGAGCAGAGGATCCAGCTAAGCCGTGCTCAGAATCCTGGCCCATGACCCACGGAAACTGAGATAATTAATGCATTGTGTTTAGCTACTGAGTTTGTTATGTAGTATTAAAAAACTAATACTTCTATGCTTCATTTCAAGTTATTTTTGTGTATTGGGTAAAGTAAGGATCAAGATTCACTTATTTTTCCATATGAATATCAAATTATTCCAGCATCATTTGTAGAAAAGACTATCCTTTTCCCATTGAATTACCTTAGTACCTTTGTTTGAAAATCAGTTGGCCATTTCTAGGACTTCCAAAAGATGGGCCTGATTTTGGACTCTATTCTGTTCCATTAACTATATACCTATCCTTATGCAAGTACCACAGTATCTTGATTATGGAGGTATTATATATAGTAGGTCTGGAAATTGAATAGTGGAAGTACTCCAACTTTATTCTTTTTTTATCCTTCAAGATTATTTTATCTATTCTTGGTCATTTGTCTTTCCATATACATTTCAGAATCATCCTGTCAGTTTCTACAACAAAGTCCATTTGGATTTGACAGGGACTGCTTTGATGGTGATACATAATGGTGACATCATAACAATATTGAGTCTTCTGATCCTTGAGCATGGTATATATTTCCATGTAGTTAGGTCTTCTTTAATTTCTGTCTCTCAGCAGTGTTTTATACTTTTCAGTGTATGGATCTTGTATATGTTTTGTTACATGTATCCCTAAATATTTCATTTTTATATTATTCAAAAGATATTTTATACTTTAATGCCCGTTTGTTTATTGCTAACAATACAAATACAATTAATTTTTATGTTGACCTTGGGTATCATGCAACCTTACTAAAGTTACTAGTTCTAATAGTTTTCTGTAATATTCTTAGGACTTTTTTTTACATACATGATCATGCCATCTGCAAATACAATTTGCTTCTTCCTTCCAATATATTATGCCTTTTATTTCTTTTTCTTGCCTTATTAAACTTGCTAGGATCTCTGAAAGATACGCAGTTGTTCCTACACTTAATGGGAAAGTATTCCATCTTTCACCATTAAGTATAATGTTAGCTATAGGTTTTTCTTAGGTTCCCGTGACAATTCCTAGTTTGCTGAGAGTTTATTTTTATTATGATTAGATGTTGAATTATGCTTGTAGAGTTATGTATGTCTCAGATGCCATCTTTAGGAAGATAACATACCTCATGAATAGCCCTGTTGGGAATTCTTTTTGTCTATGGAGCAGCATATATTGCTCCTTCAAAAGCCATGGAAATTGTGTTGGATTTGTATGTGTCATCGTTATAGTACTGGAATTTCTTCATCTTTCCTTCCTTTGCCATTCTTTTGACACTGGTTTTGGTTCTTCTTTATCTCCTCGCTTTAAAATATATACACACACACACATATATATATATATATTATTGATTTCAGAGAGAGGAAGGGAAAGGGAGAGAAAGAGAGAGAAACATCAATGATGAGGGAGAGTCATTGATCGGCCACCTCCTGTTGGCTCCCTGCTGGGGATCGAACCTGCAACCCAGGCATGTGTCCTCACAAGGAATCCAACCTCCATCACCTGGATCATAGGTTGATGCTCAACCCCTGAGCCATGCTGGCCGGGCTCCTTGCTTTTTTTATTTCTGCCTTTTAGATTATTTCTTCCACATCTATGAAAACTTCCTCCCTGCTAACAGTGCCAAGCTCTAGTGTGTGTGTGTGTATGTGTATGCACATGTGTTCATTTGTTCAGTTCTCTCACTTTCTTCTATAGCAGGGATGGGTGGCCACTTGTATGTATGGCTAGAATAGTGGCAGGAAGATAAACATTGTCCATACTCTGGGTCACTCCAATTCTTTCTTTCTGAATCTCCAAGGCTTCTAATGAAGCCAGTCTTTAGAGATTGCCTTTGGACACTCCTCTGACTACTATGGCAAACTTCCTGTTGGGCAGGCTACTAATCCTGCTGCT